TGATCTTCCTTCCCCATTATCCTGAGTGAATTTCTTAGCATCCTTATTTTCTCATCATATTAGCTGGCAATCATCAGGAGAAGAGCCATTCCTGGGTGGTGTTTGGAAAATGAGTCTTGCTCTCCACACATAATGAACTACTGAATTAGAATGAACTAGATTCTAATGAATCAGAGAGATCTCGGGATTGGAATGAGGAGGTGCAGAAGGCCTTCCTCTGTGTCTCAGGAAGGGCTCCTGGAAAGGGCAGCTTGGCTATTGGTGATTTGGAGAAGAGCTTGTTATCAGATAGGTGATGACCATTGGCAGTGGCCCTAACAGTCCATTCTCTGGAAATTCAATTGTATCCTGGAGAGCCCTTGGCATCGTCTATGAAATCACCAGAGTCGTGGCAAACCCATCTGCCCTTGAGGCATTCACTAATTGCTTATAGATTCACCAACTGACATGATGGCAAGACCAAGCACACTGATTGGCAGAGAGAGTCCTAATTTGCTAAGGAGGTGAGGCTAGAACTGGACCTTCTAGTATGGGGTTCAGAAGTTGTGATCATCTGAAGCAATGGACCTATGCTGCGTATCCAGGTCCCTAAAGAGCAGATCCAAGATGGAGGATTTCTGATGGTTAGTTGGCAGAGAGACAGGAATGGTCAAGGCTGCAGCTGCTGTGCTTCGACCTCCTTCAGTTCATTCTGAGTGGCAAAGACTGCAACAGGAGGCCCAGAACCACACTAATGCGGTATCAGAATGGGATGTTGTTACACTTTATATCTGATGTAAATACCAAGGAGGGAAAGTTTCCATCCATTGTACCCAAGTCTGACACATTCAGTTCCTTTTAGTTATAGACACAGGTTATCAGGGCTGGGAGGTGAAAAGCACTAGGGACTCCTGGACTTCCTTGCATCACATCAGGTATGAGATGACAATTCCAAACCAACATGGCTGGCCTTGCTTATATCTTTCAGGGCCAGTGGGGCAGCAGCAGGGGCTGAGGCATATATCTAGCCATGGGGAAGGGAGACAGACACATGGCTTATGAGGCCCAGCTTAAGGATAGCTGCTCTTATCTTTGAGGGCTTCACTGGGTTCCATGCACTTCCTCTTCCTCAGGCCTCGTCTTGGGATACCACATGATCTCCTTGGCTTATGGCATTCATATGTAGAAATTCACTTGTGTTTATGTACCTACAGGGGCTGCTAGGAAGGCATCATTCCACACCCTTCTTCCTCACTGAGCAGGAGCAGCAGCTGAACCAGGTGGAAAAACTGAAACTTCACCTGCAGATGATGACCAATGACAGGAATGAACTGCGTGAATTCCTGGCCCATTACAGCAATGAGTTGAACAACAGGTATTCATCATGCCCTGTTCTCTGGTGACTGTCTTGACCCTACTTTGTCAATTCCAGCAGTCCTTGGGTCACTGGAAGCTGCACCTGCAGGGTGACCTGCACAAGCATATTTTCCTAAATGCATCTGAGAGGCAGAACTAAAGCCTGTAGGAGTGAGATGGGACACAGGCTGTTCTGATTCCTCCTAATAAAAACCACAGCCTGTGGCCTGAATCACAATCCACAGAGAGGGGCAGTAGGGTGTAAAATCACAACATGCATTTCAAGGTGTTGACAGGTGTTGGCTTGTAGGAAATACCGGGTGGTCTGCGTTTAACCTGAGTCTCTGTATTTGACAAGATATTTATTTTTGCTTGTTGCTCTGGGAGCAGCTTGAAGGGCCTTGTGGTCCTACTTGGTCCATCTGTGTGTGTCTGGAAGGCCTGGTGTCCATCCTTGCTCCTCTCTGGTCTTGTTCCTTGTACTGTGAGACAATGCCACCCACCTGCATTTCTCTGACATCCTAACTGTGTGTAGGTCTGTGTGCATGTGAATTGCCCTCTAAGGGGCCCAAACATCGCAAACATGGCAGTGTCAGGTTTTGGCCTTTTCACTTCCCTCTCCCTTGATAAACCATTAGATTACATTCCTAAATTTAGTCCCCAAAGTTCATTCCCTTTTGTGCACACTGACTCATTCTTGAAACTGAACACCAAAGTTCAACAATCAAAATTCATTACCCGCCTAGACTTGCCAACCTATCCAATCAGATCTCAGCAACTCACCCTAGCACAGACGTAACCTTTCTATTTAAAATCCCACTGCTGAAAAAAGCCTGCTGCCTGTTGTCTGCCTTTGCCTGACCCAGAGGCAGGCTCCCAATGCCATGATTGCCCTGCTGGGGAAATGCATCTCTTTGTGTTGAGGATTTGGTGTCTCAGTGTGTTCTGTGCTATCTCTGAGAGGCTCCATTACAGTGTGTGTGTGTGTGTGTGTGTGTGTGTGTGTGTGTGTGTGTGTGTGTGTGTTGTGTTGTGTGTGGTGTGTGTGTGTGTCGCTTCAGATCTTGTGAGTTGGATATCGATAGTAGGGCTGAGGATTTGCCTGTTTCAAAGATTTCAGGTGATATAAGTGCTGTGACCAGGGAGCTCCACTTTGATCACCACTGTTCTCAGTCTTTGTGCTCACCCTGGTGCCTCACTGGAATCCCCTTGGGAGTTTATAAAGCCATCCTTATAGAGTGCCTCATGAATGACAATATTGATGATGAGTTCTGGTTATCCTTGTAAGGACAAGGCATTTCTGTTCTCACACCAGTGGAAATATCATCGCAGATTTCAGGTAGGCCCACACTGGTGGACGTTCTTAGAGAGCTAGTCTACCTCTCCAGGCCTACTGAGGGAGCTCATGGGGCCCTGTCTCCCTCCCTGTGGACACCCAGCCTTTCCTGGCCCTGGGGCAGGGTAGCAAGTCTAATGCACATCAGGAGTTCCCAGTACATAGCATTCAGGGTGTGACATCCAGTAGGCTAGGGTAGTGCAAAATACATCCTTAATTCATGGGGTCCCTGAGGCCTGTGTTCACAGGGTTCTGTGCTCCTGGGGCTATGCCCTACCACAGGCTGAATTCGGAGAATGAGATGCAGAACACAGAGCATAAGAAGGATATGTCAGATGTGAAGAAATTACCCAAGGAAATTAGTGAGGCCTTGTACAAGTGCACAGAGCTGAGTGAGAAGACCAAAATCTACCGGTGAGTGCCTGACTTGGGTGGACTCCAGAACTTGCTAAAGACTGCTTCTTGTTGTCTGAAGTTTCTCCAGTCCTGCCTGACCACGCTGCCAGGAGGAATCTGTCCCACCTGCCTCCTGCAGCAAAATGGTCCCATATAAACACACAGAAGCTCACATTACTTACAAACTATATGGCCAATGGCTTAGTTTCAGGCTAGCTAGCTCTATCATCTTAAATTAACCCAATTCTATCCATCGGTGTTTTCCCACATGGCTGCTGAATGCCAGGCTGATGGCATGTTACTCCTGGGGTGGCAGCTGGCATCTCCTCCACCTCTGCCTTTCTTCTCTGTCTCTCCTGGACTTTCATGCCTAGCTCCTTCCTGCCTTGCCATAGGCCAAAGCAGCTTATTTATTAACCAATGGGAGCAATACACATTCATGGCATACAGAAAGGCATCCCACAGCATCTTCTTCCCTTCTCTACCTTTAAACCAAAGTGAGGGCTGTGGTTCTAGTCTGTTTACCTCTTAGCAAGCAGCCTGCCTTATAGCTCTTGGACTTGTGCATCCTAGACTGAGTTCTCCTAAGTATGAAGAGTCTGAGACCCCCTCCCAACTTTTTCCGGTCAGCTTCTGGAATTTCTAGACAGAAAACATAGTTTGCACCATGAATGGTTTCTGTGGTGCAGGCATGAGATTACACAGCTGGTTTCTATGGGACACATGGATGGAATGTATTCCCAATGGGTCTTCTGTCTCTCTGAGAGCATGGTTTCCCTCTACCTGCTCATGTTTTCCCAATACTGTGAACAGTTAAGTACCAGGGTATGTGTGCGGGAGGCAGCAGATCCAGTCCTCAGAGGTACATGGATCCTTTTTGCTGTCAGGGTCTTCAGAAGTAGTGTAAATCTTTCTTGAATTTGGCTATTCTCTAGCTTCTGCCTGCACCTGAGTGATGCTGCCATGGCTAATGATGGCTCCAGCCCGGGGCTGTTGGGGATGGGAACATGGGACCTTGCAGGAATCATGGTATTGGGAGGCAGGAGTGCCAGATGGAATCGGAGCACATCATTTCTTGTGATATTTCAGCACCCTCTACAGTCAGCACCTGAGTGAACAGACTCAGCTGAAGGAAAAAGTGAGAATCTTGCTAGAGGACAAGAAAAAGCTACAGGGGGAGCAGATTTTACTACAAGAGTCCTGTGAGGAGGCAAAGAGGCTCTGTGAAGAGGTCCATGAGAATATCTATGACCTCTGGACAAGGCAGCTGCAGGTAGGTTGAAGCAGCAGGGCAAACCTGGCCACCTGTCTGACCATACACACACATACACACACTCATGTAACCATCTACTCACTTATCCACCTGACCCATCCCATCCAATAGTTCACTTCTGTGGTCATCCACAAGTCTTTCTGGGAGTTAGCCTCTTAGGCAAGCAAACCCTACTGCTCGGCTGGAAGCCGCAGCCCATTGAGGGAGGCAGGTCAATCATATACCACTCACATGTATGTCAGTATGGGAGGAGCCATGCTATAATGGTAGCCACAGAGATCTGAGTGAGTCAGGTCAAGGGTCTGGGAATCATTTGCTTTTGCAGATGTCATGTGTGATCAGAGCAGACACAGCATGGAAGGAGGAACACCCCCTGAAAAAGCGAAATGACCGGGGCTCATAGACATCTTTTTGGGTGCCATATGGCATTTTACCCTCTTGTTCCCAGACTGCCATGGTGTTCTCTTTACCTGGACAAGCTCTTGGATCACAGTAACAGAAACTAAATTAACAGCTTGTCAGTACTGTTTGTTGTGAGTGGCGTGGCCAGTTCTCCCATCCTGGATCTTACATTCAGAAGCTCACTGGATGACCAGGGATGTGGCAAGGGCTTATGACAGGTGGGGGTCAGGGTGACAGATTTGAGCCAACTGCATCAACATAGCCTGCAGAGACACAGCATGCTTCCCCAGGCATTTTTAGTCCAAAATGATAGAGAATTGTGGGACTTTCTTATAACAGCTAGTGTGAGGAGTCTAAAACCAACTGGCAATGTCATCCTCATCCAGTGTGATGTCTTCCTCACTGCATTCTGATCACTGATGATTGGAGGGGTGTTTGTCTGTGTGTGAGTATGTCTGTCTGAGGGTGTATATACATCTGTGGGTGTTTTGGAAGGTCTGATGATGACATCGAGTGTCCTCTGTTGCTTTCTCCCCTATTCCCTTCAGCCGGAGTCTCTTACTGAACCTGAAAATTTCTGTTCTGGCTAAGCTGGATAGCCACAGATCTTTGGATTTCCTGTCTCCTCACCATAGAGCGTCCTGTCTTTTTCTGTCTCATTTCATTGCTAAATGGTTCCTTTGTTCCTTTATTACATTGCAATTAATGCGTCTTATAATAAAAAACAAAAATCAAACAATGGAGCTACTTTAAAAATAAAAAAGTAGACTTCTTTTCTTTCACACCATAGAGGTAACTTCCCAGGAAAGGTCTGTTTTGTCTACTGGCCTCACAACATGTAGCCTGATATTTGAAGCTCACTCTTAGGACAGAGTACAACTCATAGTTGTATAGAGTGCTGTGTTTTAGAAAAGTGCTCTGGATGACCTAAATAAACTTCCACTGAATGGCCTGGGACTGTTTTCATATAATGTGCACTGTAATCTGGTTAAAAGTTGTTGGATAATGACAATGGGTGACTTCTAGTCTCTGGTGCTGTCGATGTCTTCTGTGGAGGAGTCGGGGTAAGTTTAGTGAGGAGACTATGATGGTTCAACTTAAATCTATCAGGAGGCTTCATGTCTGACCCTCTTCCGCCAGCACTTGGTTTTGTGTGGTCCAACTCAGTTGTGCAGAGGTTGTTACTTATCCGTACGATCAGTGAGTCTGGTGTTAAGAACTTCCCTGGGAAGGGAAATAAGTTCAGGCCAGGACAGAAGAGCTTTTCTGGGTCTAAGAGGCTTGTAGACAGTAGGGAGGACCCACTACCTCCCCCTGGAGTATAAAAGGTGCTGCAGCATTCTAGTCTTGTACCTTGCCTTTCTGGATTCAAGAAAGGT